AGCAACCTCCAACTCCTGGGCTTAGGTAATTCTCTTGCCTCAGCCTCCCAAGTAGCTGAGACTACAGGCGCCCACCACAACGTCCGGCTGTTTTTTGGTTGCAGTTTGAACCTGCCACCCTCGGTATATGGGGCCGGCGCCCTACCCACTGAGCCACAGGCACTGCCCTCACTAATGGTTTTCATTTTAACTAAATTCCTTGCCATTCGACAAGCTGGTTAGGAGTAAGTATACAAATAGGTCTTTGTCACACTACCACCGCTGCTGATCACATCTTGGCAATAAATCTATAAACTTAAGGACTTTACAATGAACAACCAGGTATTTTAGATTGTGGATATGTTAACTCAGACATGATAAATGGTAATGAAATCCAGCCAATAACATTGGATAGGTAGGTAGACAAGAGAATCTTGCTTTACTAAGACAAAGAGGAAATTCTCATGGGCTACACAATTAATATAGCTGGACTCTAATCAGGATCCTATAGTTACCCCTTCTATCCTTAGAGAAAAGAGAAAGTTCAAAGAGAATTTCTATGGCCACAAAAGGAGCAGCATTTTATTTCCCAGTATATTGCTTTGAGACATGGCTAAAATATGATAGGAATTGAAAGAGGTAAAAAATTTGTTCTTACCTTCAATCCAGAGTGTTAAATTTACAATTAATAGATAATCAAGGTTGAAAGAGTATAGTCAACCAAGAGGCCTCTGGCCTCTGCTTAAAAATATTTAAAGTATGGGAAACAGTATTCCCAAAACAGGGCATTTCATCTTATTTACCTCTGACTAAAATGAACTCAAACATGATTAAAGACTTAAATATAAGACCTGAAATTATAAAACTACTAGAAGAAAATACAGGAAGACGCTCCATGATGTTGGTCTAGGCAATGATTTTTTTTTTAGCTATGACTCAGAAAACACAGACCACAAAGACAAATGGGATGGCATGAAATTAAAAAACTTTTGCACAGCAAATAATTGATGAAGTGAAGAGACAACTCACAAAATAGTAGAAAGAATTTGCAAACCATTTATCTGACAAAGAGTTAATGCCCAAAATATATAAGGAATTAAAACACCTCAATACCAAGAAAACAATCCAATGGAAAAACAGGCAAAGCATCTGAGTAGACATTTCTCAAAAGAAGACATACATATGGCCAATAGGTACATGAAAAAATGCTTAGCATCACTAATCATTAGAGAAATGCAAATTAAAACCATAACGAGGTATCACCTCACATCTGTTCAAATGGCTTTATTAAAAAAAATGAAAGATAAATATGAGGAGGATGCAGAGAAAAATATCATATATATTTGGTAGGAATTTAACTTAACATAGCCCTATGAAAAATGGCATGGAGGTTCTTCAAAATACTAAAAACAGAACTACCATAAAACCCCACAATCCCACTTCTAGATATATATCCGAAGGAACCGAAATCAGTTAGTCTTTTCACTCCCATGTTCATTGCGCTATTATTTATAATAGTCCAGATACAGAAACAACCTAAGTATCCATCAATGGATGAATAAAGAAAACACAGCATATTTACATAATGGAATATTATTCGGGCTTAAAAAGGGAAGAAATCCCATCACTTATGACAACACTGATGAATGTGGCTTGTGCTAAGTGAAATAAGCCGGGCACAGAAAGACAAATATCACATGATTTGTGGAATCTAGTAAAGCTGAGCTCCTACAAGTAGAGTAGAACAATGGCGACCAGTGCCTCTGGGCACCTGGAGGGAGAGACTGGAGAGTTGCTGATCAAAGGATACAAAGTTACAGATAATGGGGGAACGAAGTTGTTAATCAAACAGTACAAAATTTCAGACAATAAGAGAAACAGATTTTGAGATTTATTGCACATGGGGGTGATTGTAGTCAATATATAACAGAGTAAATTTCAAATATCTCACCATAAAAAATGACTGGTAAGCAAGGTGATGGATATGTTAATTAAATAGATGTAACTGTATCACATTGTATACATGTATGAAAACAATACATTGTACTCCATAAATGTATACAATTATGACTTATCAAAAAAAAAAC